GGCTATGACAAATAAAACTGCTATGAGCATAGTTGAGCAAGTATCCTTGTGGTATGATTGAGCATTCTTTGAGTATATACCCAGGAGTGCTGTAGCTGGGTCTTGAGGTAGATTGACTCCCAATTTCCTGAGAAACTGCCATATTGTTTTCCAAAGTGGCTGTGCAATTTTCACTCCCACCAGCAATGGAGGAGTGTTCTTCTTGCTCCACATCCTCAGCAGCATGTACAGTCACTTGCATTTTTGATCTTATCTATTCCAATAGGTGTTTCTGATCTTATATATTCTTTAACTGTTTAAGAGATTCTTCTGTTGAGAATTCTCCATCTAGGTCAGCACCCCATTTTTTAAATTGGATTTTTTTGATGTCTGGTTTCTTGAGTTTTTTAAAAAAAATTAGAGATCCACTTCTGTTGGATGTGGGGCTAGTGAAGAGCTTTCTCTATTCTGTAGGCTGCCATTCTGTGCTATTGACAGTGCCCTTTGCCTTACAGAAGCTTTTCAGTATCATGAGGTCCCATTTACTAATTGTCGAACTTAATGTCTGTGCTTCTGGTATCTTCTATTCAGGAAGTTGTCTCCTGTGCCAATGCATTCAAGGCTATTCTCCACGTTCTTTTCTATTACGTTTAGTGTAACTGGATTTACATTAAAGTCTTTGGTCCACTTGAACTTGAGTTTTCTGCAGGATGATAGATATGGATTTATTTGCATTCTTCTTCATGCTGACAACCAGCTATGCCAGCACGGTTTGTTGAAGATGTTTTCTTTCTTTCCATTGTTTACTTTTGATTTCTTTTTCAAAAATCAAGTGTTTATAAGTGCGGATTTATGTCTGGGTCTTTGATCTGATTCCATTGAACATGTGTCTTAGGACAGCTTTCATTTTATCTCAGAGGTTTTACCATATTTTCATTTAGTTCCAGGAAAGTTTTTATTCCTTTTCAGATTTCTTCTTTTATTTATTTATTAATCAGTAACAAGTTGCTTATTCTCCATGAGTTTCTGCATTTACTAGAGGTTTGGCCATTTAATATCAGACAAAGATGCCAGAAACTTATACTGGAGAAAAGAAAGCATCTTCAACAAATAGTGCTGGAAAAACTGGATATCCACACACGGAGGAACAAAATTAGACTCACATTTGTCAGGCACAAAAATTAATTCCAAATGGATCAAAAGCCTACATGTGAAATCTGAAACATTGAAAGTGCTAGAAGAAAACATAGGTAGTGCACACATGATAGAGGTGGAGGAAACAGTTTTCTGAACAGGACTCCATTTGCCCAAGAATTTAGCTCAAAAATTGACAAGTTGGACTTTATAAAATTAAAAACTTCTTCACAACTAAAGAAAAATATTAACTTGGTATTTATTCAGTGCTGTAAAGATCTGTTGTATTCTTTTATGTTGCATTTGTTTAATTCTGTAAAGCTGTGTTACTTTGTCTGTCTAAAACACCTGTTGATTGTATAAAGAGCGGAACAGCTAATAGCTAGGCAGGAGAGAGAAACAGGTGGTCCTGTCAGGCAGAGAGAATAAATAGAAAAAAAGAGAGAAGGGGAAAGAGGGAGGAATGAGAAAAGAAGAAGGAGAGGAAGATGCCAGAGGCCAGCTCACCCAGCCACACAACCAGTCATAGAATAAAAAGGAAAGAAAGACATATAGAGTAGAGAAAGGTAAAAGCCCAGAGGTAAAAGATAGACAGGATAATTGAACTTAAGAAAATCTACCTAGGAATAAGCCAAGCTAAGGTCAGGCAGCCATAAGTAAGAATAAAGAAAGCTCCATGTTTTTATTTGGGAGCGAGGTGGTGGGTCTAAAGAGTATACATACATACATACATACATACCAACTACAAACTGATGATTAATTAATGAATGTGTGGTTTATATACACTATGGAATACTATTTATTTGTAGTAAAGAAAAATAAACTCATGAACTTTATAGATAAATTTATAGAACTAGAAAATATCATATTGAGAGAAGTCACCCAGACTCAGAAAGACAAAGGTCACATATTCTCTCTCATCTTAAGGTCCTAGCTGTAAATCTTCAGATGTAATGACATGTTGTGGAGTAACTGCAGAAATCAGGAGAAAGTAAAAAGTGACCATTGCTGGGGTTGGGAGTGGGGATTGAGAGAGAAGGGAATATCAGGGTATAAGTGATCTGATGGGGGAAATGGAAAAATGGGGGCTCTAATTAAAGAGGGGGAGAGAGATAAATATAGAATAAGGAGGAATGGGGGTAAAATAATAGTAAGGTTGTCTGAAAAAAGTATAAAGAACCATATTATTAACTATCCTCCTAAAAATATCTATAATACACATAAGTTGGTATATAAACACATGTATGTAATTTAAATGAAAATTTCCCATTTGGGCCAACAATGTGCCCTTCAAGAGCCAAAGATCATCTAACAAGAACCTCAACAAAAGCATACAAAGTGCTCTTTCTAGTTGTTGGTAAGGGTTGTCCAATGGAACCACCATTCCAGAAGCACTGCATTCTGTCACTGCCACCCTTGTTTACACCTAAAAGTTGAAGGGAAGTCCCCATTGCTGAAGATACCATGCACTTCATAGTCCAGAGGACCATGAGCTGGAACTGACCTGAAAGCTTCTTCACCGAGGGCTAGTTTTCGTGGTACCAGCAGGCAACCACAAGCTTCCAAAGGAGGAAACAACTAATCCTACCTAGCTGTGATGCCTATCAACCACAAGAATGACCAGCACAGTAGGGTTATCCTAGAGATGCAGTAGTGAATGAATACCTTGGCATAACTGGACTCAGGACTCACTCAACAAGGCATAAATCATGCCTGGTTACTGGAAATCTAACCAACTACCCAGGGCTCATGAAATCATAGATCTTGAATCTACTGACATTTTATTAAACTAGTAGAATCCCCAACTATATTCCAAATATTTGTCCTTATACCTACAGATACAGGTTGTCTTCACCCTCATCAAAACAAAACAAAACAAAAACAAAAACAAAAACCCCAAAACCTTCTCTTGGTAACAGCTGGAGACTTACAGAAAATCACAACCAATGAAAATGCAGAGTTATGGAGCCCAGACACAATGGATATATCTACAAAACACTCCTGCACCTACAGTTCAGAGACCATTGTGGTAGAGGCGGAGGAAAAGTTGTAAGAACCAGAGGATTAGGGAGTTTTCTGTGAGACTGTGTCTCCTAGGAATTCCAGAAGCTATGCTCATAAAGTCTCACCAACATGACTGTCTAACCATGAGCTGAACAAGGACAAGAAAAATAGACATGCCAAAGTCGACAGGGAGAGCCCAAGGAACATTAACCCTATGCAAGAAATACCAGCCACTAAAGAACTCTGAGAGTGGGAGGAATTGTCTTCCCAGGGAAGAGCACACCTAGTACCAAATTGTCAGCCCTGAAAACAGAGTGAGCAGACTGTACTTCAAGAATGCACATGTGTGGGCACATGCCCCCCACCCCAGAGCCAATAGATAATTAATGAAGAAGAGAACAAAGAGGGATATGTGGGACAGTTTGGAGGGAGGAAAGTGAAATGATGTAATAATATTGTAATCTAAAAAATAAATAATTTAAGAAATCAATTAAAATTACTAGAAGAAAAAGTCTTACTCCTCTACTGGAACTTTAAGATGCATTCCTTATCCCCAGAAGGGTTTCCCCACAGCCTTGGACTTGCTCGAGGACACCCCTCAGGTTTTGCTGCAAAACATTCTTAGTCCTCCATGCTACTCAGATGAACTTCCCACATGGCTTATCTCTGGCTTTTGCTTGTATGTGTTTCCTGGCAAGAAAACAATCAGCTGAAAGGTAATACATTCTATTTCCAGACAATTCTCTTTTAAGATGTTTTCTACTATATTGCAAACCAAACTCTCTTCTTCCCTGATATATGAACCATTTATTCTCTCTGCTGGTTCACTTGCTTAGCAATCCTTCAGATGTGAATAAGACATTAAAAAAAGAGTTATTTATTTGTCTGTTTGCTTGCTTGTTTGTTTATCTATTTGATGTTTTGACACAGGGTTTTTCTGTGTAGCTTTGGAGCCTGTTCTGGAAGTCACTCTATAGACCAGACTGGCCTCAAACTCACAGAGATCTACCTGCCTTTGCCTCCCAAGTGCTGAAATTAAAGGAGTATGCCACCACTGCCTGGTGAGGTTTTTATTTTTATGTGTATGTGTGAATGTCTCCATGGATATATGTGTACCATGCATGCCTGGTATCCACAGAGGCCAAGAGAGGGTGCCAGTTCCCCTGGGAATGTTAAAAATGGGTGCGAGCCACCATGTGGTTTCTATGAAATGAACCCAGGTCCTTTGCAAGAGCAGTAAATGTTCTTAATTACTACTGAACAATCTCCAGCCCAAAACAAGAATTATTATTCCATCATGAGATGCAGAACCTAAATATAAATTATAGGATGGTTATTGTCTCAGTAAATAATTCATTCTAACGTATAAAAAACTAACAAGGGCTTTGCCGTAGGAACTCACTTTTACCAGAGAACTTGAGTGTGTGGTCAAGAACTTCAAAACCACCAGGGATACAAGGAATATGGTTTGTGCTTTCTGACCTTTGGTTTCTTTCATCTGGCAAAAGAATGATTTGCATTGTAAATAGTTCTACATGTTAGTTGTATTTCTGTATTCTGTCTGGAGTAGCCTTGCCCAACTTAAATCTTTGCTTTAGCTTGGTTTTCTTAGATCTTGATGAGAAAAAAAAAACACATGTGTGCCAATTGCCTTGAGCTAATTGGGGGACAAGTATATCAAGGGAGATATACTTGATGCCATTGGTGTTATGACTTTGCCTAGCCACTATAAGTTCATTTGTGAGTCTTTTATTCCTACCTGAGTTGAAGCTTTCTCCCATGAAAGCCTTGCTTCCCTTGGAGTAGTTACAATATTTGTATCACAAATCAAGGATGCAAGGAACACATTTTATTATGATTTTATTATATATCTCTTTTCCTGGAGTTTTGCAAGTAAGATTGCCTAAGAACCAACTTTTCATCTGTCTTCCAGTTCTACACCCACAGAACTGGACTGCTTTGCCGCTGCCCAATGCACAGTATCCAATGATTCAATAAATACTTTACAAAAATAATGCAGTTTTTTTCTTTCTTAAAACATAAAAAAGTAGGATTTCCCGGACTTCAGCTCCTACCACTGCCTTTTAAATTTATTTACTGGGAATATATTGGTAGAGAAAAGTCGTTATATTAAAATAAAATAGATAAAATGGGGCCCATATTATTTTCTCACTTGTTTTGCTTTTTTCTTTTGGAAAGTGCCACTCCTGGCTTTATGCCTGAAACTTCCTCCAGTCTCCTGAGCTTGTTAATACCATCCTTACTGGAATCACATTGTTCATTTGTTTTAAAGTCATTTAAAACCAAGTCTTAGATTTGACTCTAAACATTCACTTTCTACTCACCCTTTGCCTAGTCGAAGGCAAGAGAATGTTGGACTTTGTGACTCCAGCAAACACCTTCTCACTAAAGAGCACCCGGTGTAAGGTGGCTGGTTATTTGTTTTTATGCCTCTCTGCTGCAACATTCCTTTTCTCCCCATTCCCCAAAGTCCTTTCCTTTTTGAACTCTCTCAGAAGTGATTAAATAATTTTTACAAGGTCAACTCCAGAGAAAAGGGAAAGCTTAAGTCACATTTGTATTAAATAAGTTATATATAAAACCATTTATAATGTTTACAGTCTCAGTCTTTGCGCTCCTGTGCACTCGACAGAGGTGGGAATTGAATCACACCCACTATGGCTCCCAGGTTCCTCTTCCTGCCTGCACACCCACTGTCAGGACTTCCAACAGGGTTTGTAGGTAATGGATATAGCAGTCCCTCAGACCCGGAGCGTACCCCTAGTGTACTTAGAAAAATACTCATGTGGAATGTACAAAAATGTGGCTTAAAAAAAACTGGGTGACAGTTGGCAGATCAGTGCATTTGTGCCTCCGAACCAGCATTGCTTTAGTATTCCCTGGCCTCTTGGAACTGTTTAATGTAGTCCTCATCAGAGGGGCTTTCTGTGCACTTCTGTCCATTGTTGGGAGGCCGGGCCTCGTTATACCTACTCCAGTCGCCCTTGCAGATGATCCAAGGCAGAACGTCCACTTTGTAGTGGAGCTCAGCGGAGAACTCGGTGCTGATGAGATTGGGTGTGCCTGCCCCTTTGCCTCTGGTGATGAGTTGCATGTTGTCCCCATAGCAACAGTGCTGGGCAGCAAGGGTGGTACTCTCCAGGGACAACATAGAGCGGATGCAGTACCGGGCAGTAGGCTTGTAGATCTCCAGTTTCTCTTTGGGTCCACTAGCATCCTTCCATCGGAAGTCCTTGCGCTTGATGCGGTCAAAGATGTTGGCGGTGTTGTAAGCCACCTCAGTGGGGTAGGAACAGGGACAGCTGGGCAAGTCATTGATTACCTTGTGCATGTATTTCTTTAAGAACTCACTTTTGCAGCTCATCCATCGCTCACAGCTGTCCATATCTGAAAAAGACCAAAAAACCCCTTTAAGTTCATGCTTAGCCTGCTGTGAGGATGAAAATGAAGTCAACAGTGTCCTCCCTTACATCAAACATCCAGCAGGTACCCATAACCACTACACATGGTGGCCATTCTCATCACCCCTGAACTTGACGACTTTGTTTTTAAGACATCTTCTCAACTCCGTACTCTATAGTATGAGGAATTTTCAAACAGAGGGCAGCAAAGAGTAGAGTAAGTCACTGATTGAATGACTACCAATATTCTCTCACCCATATTTAACTATCAGTGCATTTGATCCATCTTTTAAAATTTTATGTAGAAACATATGTTATTATCCCTAAATTGAAAGCATCTTCAAAAAACTCCAAACCAAACCAGATCTCAACAAAAGCCCCAATAAAACCCTCAAATGTAAAACAAAAAACAGAATATTATGACAGATAACCATAGCCTAATTATATATCCTAACACAATTAGCTGATTCAGAGAGCTGCGTTGAATTTCCTAAATAAGTGGTAATGCTGTGGAAAGGCCTCAAAGGATTACTTGTAGACTTGCATTTATTTTATTTCTGCCGCTCACTGAGTGGTTTAAAACATAATTCATCTCCCAACTGCTGCTGGAACTTAATTTTTACTATGCAAATTCACAGACTAAGATGCCTCAAAGGGGTGAGAGCGTAGCTCAGAGGCCAGAGGTGATATGTTTGGTTTTCAAAGCATTGAGAAAAGGTTAATTTAGTTGCAAATACTTAAAAATTTATGGACTCTAATTATATGGTGGTCAACTGCTTCTTTCATTTAGTTCCAGTTTGATGATTTTTTTTTTCTTTTGGGTGTGGCTTTGTTTTACATTTTGGGGGTGGGCTTTGTTGTTATATTAGGTTTTTGCTTTTTGAGAAACAACTTAAGGTTGTGTGAATAGGAAGGGGGAGATGATCTGGAAGGACTTGGGGGAAGGGAAGAATATGATAAAAATATATTTAAATTTAAAGTTTGTTTTAAATAATAAAAAATTCATTTATGGATTCAAATTCTAAATGTGCACTCCTGGCTTTCTTTAAGAACTGAAATTTGAACATATGCTATTCTTCTATTGTCCCTTGGGAACAACTGGCAGGGTATCGGTGAATAGGACAGGACATTGCCAGGTCAGCCCGGCCCCTGCCCGATCTCTCACAGGGTTTCTCCTGGTCTGTGAAGACCTTGGGGAAGGGTTGAAGAGGAGAGGAGAGGCAGGGAGGGGAACAGAGAAAAATGTAGGGCTCAATAAAAATCAATAAAATAAAATAAAAAAAAGAACACAGACACTGGGGAAATGTTAACCAAACAGGAGAGGATTTGATATTTGGTGGGTGGGTGGGTGGGCGGAAATCAAACAAATGCGAGAAACACATAGAGTCTCACTGTAACCCAGGAACTCAGAAAATCCTTCTCAGTCTTCCCATTCAATGACAAGATCATATTTTACTTAAAAACTGTATCCCAGATCAGGCTGGAACATCAGAGCCTGTAATTGCAGCTAATCTGGAGGAGAATCACAAGTTCAAGGCCGGCTAGGATTACAGAATAAATTTAAAACAAATCTGGTATGGAGAATAAATCTAAGGTTAACCTGATATACAGAAGGACTTCAGGGTCAGCCTGGGAAACTTAACCAGACCTTACCTCAAAATAGCAAGTAAAGGAAGACTAGGCACAAGAGTAGGCCCATGCTGTGATTCAAAGAACTTCGTCCTAGCAAACAGTAGTACTAAGGAACTATATCCCCACCCATCTTCACCGTGCTGCAGAGAAGCCCTTTTTACATTGGACTTAGATGAGGTTCACGAATGCTCCATCTCCATTTATAGCTGATAAACTCAGGTACAGATCTTTCTTTCTTTCTTTCTTTCTTTCTTTCTTTCTTTCTTCCTTTCTTTGTGATTAGTCTAACTCCTTGCCCTCACTGACTGATTGGAACAGAAAGCACCTTAATCAAATATTACTAAACCTCTTTCCTTTCTTCAAACCCCTGGACTTTAGCCTTCACTCGGCTGAGCTGGCACACAGGTTTTCCCCATCAGGATCCCTACTGGAAGGAGGTTGGTTGGTGACAGGATAAAATCCTTTAATCTGCCATTCACTTTGCCACATATCCATCCCACTTCCCACATATCCATCCCACTTCCCACTGCTATTCTTTGGATCTTAAGTGTCTATCAAAAGCTCATGTATTGACGGCTTGGTCCTCAGTTTATGGCACTACTGGAAAGTAGTGGAGCTTATGGGAGTTAACAGTGTGTGTGCCATTGAAAGGCATCTTAGGGTGATAGTCCTTTTCATTCTCTCTTCTTTTTGTAGCGTAACTAATAAAAACCCAGAGACAGATATTGGGGCTCAAGCTGAAAGATCAGAGACACAAAGAAGCTAACCACCAGAGAGCTCTTACCACTACAAAATCTTCCAAATGAAAAGAGAGTGAATTCCTGTCTCATCCAGCCTTATATTCCTCTCTAGTGCTGGGATTAAAGGTATGCACCACCACCACCCAGCCTCTATGACTAACTAGTTTGGCTGCTGGGATTAAAGGTGTGTACCACCGCTGCCTGGCCTGTATGGCTGACTAGTGTGGCTAGCTTTGCATTCTGATCTTCAGGCAAGCTTTATTTATTAAAACACAAATAAAATATCACAAAATCTTTTTCTTCCCTGTTGCCATGAGGTAAACAGCCTGCCCAATTACTGTTCACCGTGATCTTCTGCTTTGCCACAGACCCAAAGACAATGGTCCAAACACCACGCACTGAAACTAGAAGCCAAAATAAATCTTTCTTGCTTTTAAGTTGTTTTCTCTTTCAAGTACTTTTTTCCCCCCACAGTGATGGAAAGCTGAACACATCATGGCTCTTTCATGCTTTATTTACTTCTCCCTAAGAGAAAACCTGTTTACCTAAACCTAGACATTCTTCTGTTGTTGTTTTTGAGACAGTCTCATTGTGTGTCCCAGACTGGCCTGGAACTCACTTTATCCTCTAAATGCTGGGATGACAGGCATGTACCACAATACTTGGCGCTCTTGTCTAAAAAACAAAACAAGAAACAAACAAAACCAAAACATTTCAAAACTGATCTATGTTATTTCTCGTAGGGTAAGTCAGGAATAGTTTTGGGTGCCTGTTACATCATGCTGATCGTGAGCATGATGTAGAACTAGTAGCGGCCAGACTTCCTCTTCAGAGCTCCGAGAAGAGAGCCTGCTGTGTTTACTTTGCTGTCCACCTCCCATCATCCAGCTCATCCTTGCCTTGGAGGTCAATGATCAAACATGGAGGAAGCATTGCTGTCTGGCTCCTCCCTTGGCAGCCCCTGTTCATTTTTTTTTTCCTTCCTGGTTCTCCTTTTCTCCTTCCCTAGGTGTCAGACTGTCACTCCCATCTGGTATGTGCTACTTGCAGAACTCAAATTGATACAAGCTTCAGTGACAGAGATGGCAGGAGGCGGGGAGGGCCTTCTGCTAAGCATTAATTGTAAAAACCAAACTTTGCCAGTAAAAATATCTGGTGGGGGACAGGAGGAATGGTGGGTTACTACACTTGTTACTCGGCATAATTATCCAAGTTCAGATCCCCAGCATGGATAAAAAAGTTGGGAGCAGCAAAACATGTTTGGAACCCCAGCACTGGGGAGTTAGCAGAGACATGTGGGTCATGGGGAGACCTCAGGCTAGCTAGTCTGAAATAGTCTGAAATAATGAGCTCCTGATTCTGTGAGAGACCTGGTCTCAAAAGGTTAAGAGAGAGAGCATCTGATACTGACCTCTGGCCTCATGGACACACACACATGGACACACACACACACACACACACACACACACACACACACACAGAGGGAGGGAGAGGGAGGGAGGGAAGGAGAGAGAGAGAGAGAGAGAGAGAGAGAGAGAGAGAGAGAGAACACAAAAAAATAGGATGATTGGGCTGAGGACACGTTCCTCTCTGGAGAAGAAGATACAAGAAAACAAAGCTTTTGGCATCAGACAATGGAGATTTTATTTAGTTTAGGCTTGTTTAGAGGCAGCCACTAAGTACAGTGAAATATGTAGAAACTTAGCTGTAGAGCAAGAAAATTGAGCCAGTGTTGAATGCAGCACAGTTTATCAAAGGTAAGAGCTCAAGAAAGCATGTTTGGTGGTGACAGCAAGAGGAGTCAAAAATTTTAGACTTCAGTGGCCTCGAAGACTATGGGTAAAGAGAGTCAGGCAGGAGAAACGACTCCAGTTTTGAGTCAAATGCCTGGGAGGCTGGTACAGTTATGAGTGGAATCACATGGTCAGGACATAGTGTCAGCTGGGGGAGGGCACATGCCTCTTATCAGTTAGCTGGGGAAGAGGGAGATGGGACGTTTCTCATGAGTCCACAGAGCTCTGGTGTGAGGTGAGGTTCTCATATTTAACCTGACTGTGATTAAAGCCCACCTTCTTAGCAGCTTTGTGGCCACCGACAAGGCATTTCAAGCTGCGGGGCTTCTATTTTCTAGTTCTCAAGTGGACATGAAACTAGAATTTCTCTGACGAGCTTGGGATGGAGACTCAGTGCCAGGGGATTGCTCTGGGTAGGGCCAGCTGGCATGCATGGTGGCTTCTTTCTTCTCTGAGTTCTAGGATTTTTGTGTCGATGTCCTCTTGTCTGTCCAATCACTCAGAGTGCGACAGTTCCATCTTGGGCAGTACCTGGGATGGAATAGGCTTTCCTTGGAAGGGCAGGACCTTCAGAAACGAAGTCCAGGAGGTCCCAGAAAATGGCGTTATATTTTCCAAGGTGGGAGACTCCTTTAACTCCTTTGCCTCAGGACATTTATTGACTCTTTTAATTTTTAAAAACAGATTTATACAGTATGATGGGCATGCTTGAATTTGGCAGATATTAACACACCAGATTCTACAGTCATTCTGTGAGATGCACTATCTCATGCTGTTCTACAGATGAGAAAACTCAAGGTCATGTTAGCTTGAGTAACTTGATCACGTGATGATCCAATGTTTCCTCATTTTCTGTTTGCTCTTCTATGTCTTCATCCCATGGTGCTCTTGTCCTGATCCATGTAGACCATAGCCATAGGTCTTTCACCCCCTGGTTTCTATTTGAACTGCCCAGTGGGAAGACACATCAATGGACCACACAGAGGGAAGAGAGGCAAGTTAGAATGATTTACTTGTTCCTCTCTCACTGCACACTGTCTGCATCCTTTGGAGAACTGGGACTGTGGTCAGGTGACTTTCTCTGTGAGCTGTGCCTGCTGCTCATATCCTGTTCCCATCAGATCAAGAATGGTAAGGGTTTTCCAAGGTTGCCAATCTTGGGGTTCCCTTCTTGGTTTATATCCACCCTCCTCAGTTTTACAAATAAATGGGCCTTCACTGAAGACTCACCAGCTACCTACACTGAATGTGCTCAATTCATTTTTGTCTGGACTCTGGTTGAAACAGGTCTACTTAGTTCTGGTGTCTTGCATTAGATGTGGTCTTATATATACCTCGCCCTGTACAAAAAGGCAAAAGGTGCTTGCCTGTGAAACGAGACATGAGAAGTTCTCTGCCCCCAAAGACCACGTCTTCTGTTCTCTCATTTTATGTAAAACTCACACATTTAAAAAGTCAGTTTAAAAAATAAATCCAATAGGGGGCTGGAGAGATGGCTCAGTGGTTAAGAGCATTGCCTGCTCTTCCAGAGGTCCTGAGTTCAATTCCCGGCAACCACATGATGGCTCACAACCATCTGTAATGAGGTCTGGTGCCCTCTTCTGGCCTGCAGACATACACACAGACAGAATATTGTATACATAATAAAAATAAATAAATAAATATTTTTAAAAAAATCCAATAAACTGTGTTTGCGGAAGGCTCTTGTTCAATAAATGTAATTTCATTGTGTATGTGATGTAGGGAGTGAGATGGAAGCCCTACTAACACAGAACTTCTAAACTGTCCTGAGTTTGGCTTACAGACATGCTTGAATGGATTTGTTTTTAAAAATAAATTATTAACAAGCATTGTAAAAATTAAGGTATATTTGAGCTACACAAGATCTGGGTTCAGTCTTCAAAAATCAGCCCATCTGATTGCACAGTGCTAATGGCTTGATATTCACCTCATATCAGTGGTTAAGGCATAGCTGCCCCTGTCTCTTAGAAAAATATTATTAGTTCTTTGATAATATTGTACAATATGTTTTAGTCATACTCACCACCCCCGCTCTTCCCAGAGCTACCCTCCCCCCTAACTGCCTAACTCCATTTTCACCCATCAGGACCAATTTGTGTCATCCTAATATTCTTAGCTATGCTGTCTTCAACTGGAGCATGCTCAGCTCACTTAGAGAAAGCTGACTGCCCTTCTCCCAGCAGCTTTCTGCTGCAATACCTCTTCTGCTGGGATAGTGACGGTGGGATGAGGCAGGACCATCACTGCCCTATCCGTTACTGCCCACTGCTGCTGCTGGCATAGCTCTTTCTTATTTCTTCTCATCAGGGTGCTCGCGCCATGCTCTTCAGTGTTTCTCTGCCTTCTAGACTATTCTACTTAGACCCTTGACTGTTTCCTGTACGTCTCTGGGAAAGAGAAAATTACATCTCACAATAGTTGGGCTAGGAAACCGAAAGAGACGTAGGCCTGCTCAATTTTGTCTGGTGAGATACCGCAGACTTGAGTTTACAAAAGAATTTTCGGGGATAAAAGAAGTGGGAGAGAAGGAATCTGACTCTTTGACAACACAGAATGGTACCCAGAAGCAAATGAAGCTGCACTGTAACGCAAATATGCACCTGAGTGTGTACTTTCTGCCGTGTTCATTTAGGCTGCTGCTTCTGAGCCAGTGCTTTCTAGTAGAAAAGTGGGACACACACACACACACACACACACACACGCACTGTACTGAAGTTCCCTGCCCCCACCATCTAAAATTCTTGCAAAGGAGGGAAGCATATAATATTGAGAAAACTTCCTCCTTTTCTTTCTCTCTGCTGGAGACTTGGTTTTACTGGATGTGGGTGAGGATAGAGCTCACTGGGTAGTGAGCTCAATTTGTGCTAGGTGAAGGGTGAGCTCAACCTGTCTCTTACTCGAGAGGCTCTGCAGGTTGCTCACAGGGCATTCTATGGCTCAGTCTAACCTAGTGTTGGAGGGATGAGGTTGTTCTTTCTTGTCTGTGGTTGCTCTTTCTTGTGAGCAGGAAATCTGTTGGGAGCACTGGACCGTTAAAGGGAAAAATGAAACATTTTCATGTGTCCAACGACAGCACTGCAAAAGCAAAATGAATCTCCAAAATACTGAACCAATATTTGGATTTTCAAAAGGGGGAAAATTCTTACCAACTTCAAACAACTTGGTGGCATTAAACTCCTCGCTTCCCGCAAGCAGACTCACTTCGGTGGCTGCTGTCCTGAAGGTGTCTTCAATTCCTAAACACAGACAAGAGCTCATTTTCCTCTAGTTTTATGGAAAAATTCACCACTACCCCCCTCAAATACAAAACAAGTACACCTGAACAAAGCCGTTTTGTGTCCGTTGCTACTTATGGGTAGAAACTTGCCAGCAGAGGAAACAGTAAAAGCAGGTAGCAGTGCATAAAACTCACTAAGACTCCAGATACTATCCACAGTGCAAAATCAGATCCAAATGTGCCCGCAGCGAGTCGTTCGCACTCACCCGTTTGCCTTGAAGGTGAGGGGTGGGTGGCGGTGGGGCACTTGTCAGGGTGGCTGTCTGGTGAGCGACAAACTAAAGCAGAGGCAGCAGAGTGCTCAAAACCTTCCTCTTTAATGGCTGACGGCCTGGGTTTAAATCATAACTAGCTGTGCAGACCTGGGCAGGACACTTCATCTTTGTGTGCCTCAGTTTTCCTTTCTCCTAATTCAGGAGAACTAAGTGGCACCTCTCCCCTACAGAGGCAGCCAGTTACAGGAGTGGAATGAGAAGAGAGCACCCCCAGAAGGGGAAGGGGAAGCTCACGGTTCCTGCTTCGTTGGTTGTCTGGCGCTATTCCTACTGATGTTTCAGAAAGAACGCGCAGAGAAACCCATTACCTACTCCAAGGAATTGAACCCAGCTTGCTGCAAACCTTTCAGCTCCCTTAACCCCACCCCACTCCCACCCTCTCTCAGAATCACCACATCCAACTCAGATTCAGCGAGCTAAGTCATGAGAAAGAGAAGAGTGGAGGCTGGTCGCTTTTGGGGGGAACCCTAGCTCCACTGTTGGGCACAACTGTATGTCATTCAAGAGATCACTTTGAGTTTGTTAGATCCCTCAAGCAAGGGTTAGCCTAGGGACATAGTTGTAATAAATATTTAATTTATTTTTATTTGTGTGTATGAGTGTGTGTACACAGGTATGTTTGGGTGCCCAACAGGATCTGAACTGCCTGACATTGGTACTGGGAACTGAAGCAGCAGCAGGTGCTGTTAGCCACAAGCCATCTCAACAGCCCCCAGGGGGAAATACTTTCACAGAATAATCATTACCAAGCCTACAATACCTTGTCTATTCCATAGTTACTTCCAGCAATGTAGAGATTCAGAAAACCAGATACAGAAGGACAGCCTACTGAAAGTAGTCATTTAGATCCAAAGGGACCATCGGAACTGAAACTGGACAGATGAGAAGAAAATGCTTCCACAGGAATGCCAGCTGCAGTGTTCTCAGTGGTCCTGGTACCCAGAAAGGAAACATGCGAAATGGCAGCAGAGAAGAACTTTTCCCTGACAAGAAATCTGAATCTGCTGGCTTGGTTGTATATGGTAGCTCTGAAAAGAACACAGGGATGCTCCTATGACTCCAAGCAGAACTCTTTCTGTGTTCAGGTGTGGCTCAGTCAGAGACCTTCCTTCAAGGCGAAGGTGAAAGAGTAACAGCAAAGGCCATGGTCTCTCAAGTTAGGCAGCATGGATTCAAATTCTATTATTATTATTATTATTATTTGTTGCTGGTTTAGGGCCTCAGTTTCCTTAAATGCCAGACAATACAATAATAAATTTCTGTTCCATAGGGCAGTTTTGACAATTGGATGAAAGAACATACCTAAAAGTCATGGAAGTTTGATTGATACTAAATTGCTTAGAACACTCCCAGTCTCATTGTTACTATCTTTCTCATGCTTTTCATCAACTCCTTAATCTTAACCTTTTTCTCCACCCCTCTCTTCTCTTCTCTTCTCTTCTCTTCTCTTCTCTTCTCTTCTCTTCTCTTCTCTTCTCTTCTCCTCTCCTCCCTCTTTCCCCCTCTTCTCCCCTTGCTTTCTCCTCTATCCTTCCTTCCTCCCTCTTTTGCTTGGTGCTAGGGAATCTAACCTAGGGCCTCATACATGACTAGACAAGCCCTTTCTCTTTCACCCCTAGACAATCTTCTTTTTCTTTATCTCGATACCTTTTTTACTTCTCTGTTTTTCTTCATTGTCTTCTTCTCTTCTTCATGTTATTCCTGACTGTTGCTTCCTCCCGCTCATGTTATTCTTCATTGCTTGGTTCCTACCCATTCAAAACCCACTTGCCAGACTTCCACCTCAGCTCATTGCAAGGAGCACAGGGAAGATGAGGAGGAGTAAGATGTCTGCAGGGCTGACACGGAGCTGGAGCCACCACTTCTTACATTTCAACCCCACAGTTTGCTAGCGTACGCCTCATTCAAGTCGCTCCTCTCTCCCCCTTCTCAGAAACCCCTTTGTGTTTCCACTTTTGTTTTGGTCCAAATGTTCTTGGCTTGAGAATAGAATGTCTAGGAGTAGAGAAAGGAAGTCTGAGGTATGGGGATCATATTTTCAGTCTCTGAAATTTCTTTTAGGTGAAACCATTTGGAATGTGTGGTTTCATGAAAGAGCCCAAGATATTATTGTAGGCTGGCATTCTGGCTGGCAATGGGAACACAGTAAAACCATAGGGAAGGGGCGATAAGCTTTGTGCAAAGGACCAGGAGGCACATTGTTCAGGCTTTCTGGATCACTCATGGCCTTGGTTGCCTCTGCCCCTCATGCTTAATTCCTTTAAAAATGAAGGTCTCTACATAAATAGGTCATAGGTCAGATTTTGACAAACCACTATAACTCTTTCAACCATAGTCAGAATTATTTTTCAGTCCCAATAGGATTCCTTGTCAAGTTAGCAATTAATTTAATTTTCAAGGCACTGATACTACAGTATAAGATCACAATTAAATGCTAAGTTACACCAGTTTGTTTCATGGGAAGCCTTTGGCAGCTCTCTGGTATTACTGACAAGGCTAACTCCTTGGTTTTCCTGAGAATAAGAATTCACTCACGCTGGCTTCTTTATCAGATATAAGTATCTGTTTTCAAATGAGTTTTTCAAGTCATGACAATCCCACATCAAAGTCCCAAACTGACTAGAATCCCTTCTTCAAGTCAAATAAGTACAATATGGCTCTGCCCTTTAGGTCACAGCCACTGCAACTGTGCTTAAGACTTAGGAAGTCCATCTTTCCATTCACCAATTCTATTGTTTAAAAGATTTATGATGAAAATGGTTATCTTTTAAATAATTTCTTCAAGTTTTAAATTATAAATGAAAAAAACTTTCCCCTTGAACTTGTACTCATAGCCCCACAATTACCTGGGCAGTTTGGACGGTCACAGGTCCTTGACTCTGTTGCAATGCATGCATAGCCACAAGAACGGGTCCGTTTTTGGTTGCCATTTCCACAGGTGACGCTGCAGACAGACCAGAGACTCCAGTCACCCTCACCATCTGTGGAATCTGGAAGGGAGCCAGGGAGATGGTCATCATCCCTACCTGAAGAGTTCCCAAGTCTCCAGTTCAAGTTGCCTGTCTGTTCCGCTTTCCTAGTTCTCACTCTCAAAGGGTTTAGTTGCAGCCTGAGCTCAAAGCTTACAGCCATAGGTTCATGTTAGAACTAAGGTCTGTGAAGATTGAGAGGGTTGCAGTGCTGTGATCTGTACGTGACCTTTTCTCCTCGGGGGAGGGAGATGAATAATAAGGGATATAGAAAGGTAGAGGTGGGGGGGGGAGACAGGGGAAGGGGGAGGAAGAGGAATGCAGAGTGAAGGAAGAGAGAGTGGGATGGAGGAAAATAGGGAGAGAAAGGAAGAGGAGGAGGAGAAGAGAAAAGGAGAGGAGAGATGAAGAGAGAAGAGAAGAGGAGAGGAGAGGAGAGGAGAGGAGAGAAGGGAAGGGAAGGGAAGGGAAGGGAAGGGAAGGGAAGGGAAGGGAAGAGGGTTCCACAGAATCTGGTCTTCCTTTGACCTTATGGTCCCCATTGGCTTCCCGTCTAGTTTACTCTGGTAAATCCAATCACCACGAAAGAAGTTTAAGTGGAACAAATTCAAGAATGGTGAGATGCCATTACCAAAAAATGGAGTCGCATGAAGAACAACAGAACATTTGACTGTGGAAGGGAGGCCCCCAATACTTCTGCATAGAAACTGAATGTAGCTGAGGCCATCAAGTGTAGAACTGCCCAACAGTCTGAGCTTGCTGAGCCACTAAACCATGAGAAATAATGACTGATGTTTTTTCAGGTGCTAGGTAGAGAATGGTTTGTTACACAGTAGCTAATAACCAACATATTAATGGTAAGTGGAGAACTATCCTTTGAAGTCATTATTCAACATCTGGCCAATGAGTGTTAGCTGAATTCTCACTATATGTCAAGCATAATTCTAGGTAAATGGGATATATTATTAAGAATAGTTTTCCTCACTCTGGTAGAATGAGCAATGAATACAAAATAGTAAATTATATAGTAATTTAGAAGATATGAGGAACACGGGGAAAATGTGGAGCACACAAGAGGGGGCTGGAGAGAGCTGGGGATGTGTGTACATTATCAAGACTGGCGTTCTCTTATCAGAAGTAACCAAAGTTTTAGAGTGTCTGGGGGTCTTGTCCAGGGTTATCAGGGAAGCTGGGCTGTAGCATCAAGTCCTACATATCTAATGCATGACTTCTCTCCAGTAACACCACTCCATAATGGTTTCTCCTGGCTCATGCACAGCTTGCCTTCGGGCCTCTATGGGGCTGCAGTCAGGTGCTTTGAAAGGTTGGGATATCCTTCCTTCACAATAGGTTGTGTGGTTATTACATAGACCCAGCAAGAATGTTCTCCATACGTTTCCACCCGAATCTTGGGTCTGGTGCCAGCTGCTAAGGCTGGTGTTTACACAATACTTACTATGCAGGCATCCTGGGCTATCACAGGGCTGCTGAGCCGTCTGAGAATTGGTGTGTGTGTGTGTGTGTGTGTGTGTGTGTGTGTGTGTGTGTGTATACATGAAATTGTGATGGCCTCTTCCCTAACTGAATATAAAGACTCTCATGGCATACCTGCCTTCAGAAGCATCATCCATATCTATCTCCTTTCATTCAAATAATTTTTCACACTTTGATTTTATCTAAGAAACAAGTTTCCTAACCACACAGCCAACCAGAAGTCTGAAGCTTCTGTTTTACATTAGTGAAGTGGGCACCATTTTCCAGTGTGACCTCTCTATTGCCTCCTCTGGGGCACAGATGCAGCAGGGCTGGAGTGACAAGTTGCTTCCAGAGGGAGAAAAGTCTGAGACAGAATAGTCAGGGCTCTCTCGCAGAATTTTGCAGATATGCTTGGAACGATTGCATGCTTGTCAGTGACACCATCTATATGCAGTGAATCATATCACAAGTGCACATGCTGTGTTTTTATCCTGCATCCACAAACAGGGCCAGATTTTGTTAAAGGGAGCAGCAAGAGGCACAAGTAAAGATTCTCATATTTTCACACCATAAAAAGAGACAGGGCAAGTTTGGAAAGCAAACATTACTCCATGCAGAAAGATGCCATGTCACTTGCTGAGGGAATAGCAGCCTAAGATAAAAGCCAGTGAGGTCAACAGTAGTACTGCTGGACTTTATAAAAGCAAAGGAGCCTCTGCCATCCAGAAATCTCCTGCAATCTTTCCTTTCCACTTCATTAAGGGCGAGAACTCATACAGGGCAATGCCACTCAACTTGAGGGCCTAGCTCACTATGAGGCCTATATTTGAATCTCTGTATGAGCTGGACTCCTCACTTTGGTTTTCTGGATCTAAATGACTGTATTAGCTTCCTTTTATTGCTCTGCTAAATCACTGATCAAGATCAGTGTAGGGAAGGAAATGGTGTATTTTGTGTTATGGGTCACAGGATCAATCCATCAGTGAAGGAGGTCAGGGCAGGAGCTGAAGGCAGGAACCTGCAGGCAGGAACTGAAGCAGAGACCAGGAGGAGCACTGCTCACTGGTTGGCTCCCAATGCCTTGCTCAGCCTGCATTTTTTTTCATGGTAGGGTCTTTCTGTGTAGCCATGGCTTTCCTGAAACTCACTCTGTAGACCAGGCTGGCCTCGAACTCACAGAGACCCACTTACCTCTACCTCCTGAGTGCTGTGATCAAAGGTGTGCACCACCACCACCCGGCGTCAGCCTGCTTTCTTAAGTGGTCCTGGATTGCCAGAACCACTTGCTCACAATGAGCCTTCCCATGTCAATCATTAATCAGGAAATGCCCTCACAGACATGCCCACAGGGCAGTTTGATGGAAGCAGTTCCTTCGTTGAGGTCCCCTTTTCAAAGTCCTCTATAGCTTTTGTCAGTTTGTCAAAACCTACATAGCATGATGACTAAATGCTAGTGTTGCGTTCAAGTGTATGAGAATGATGCCCGTAAATCCTTTCTCCATGTCCGCTTCCTTGTTTCTTTTTTAATGCTGGTTCTGGACCATTTGATTGGCTTCAATTGATGGGATGATGGCAAATAGGATGCAAGCAAAGGCCTGCAAAATGTCTAAACATGTAGACTTGTCTTGTTTAGTTGGAGGGAACTATTCCACTACCATGTAAAGAGCCCAAGGAAGTTGAGGGCCAGAAGAGAGGCTTTGGCCATCTCAGCACTCCTACTCGTCTAGCTGGGCCCCATCATTGTTCTGAGGTCATTGAAGACTGTTCAGCTGCAGCCAAACCAGCCCATTGCAACTCAGATTCCAGTCAACCTGCAAACTCCTAAGAATGAACCCTTCTTCTGCTGTTTGAAATCAGACTGGTTTCTTTGTTTTTGTTTATTTGTTGAGACAGAAACTATGTAGACTGGGCTGGCCTCAAACTCATGACCCTTCTGCCCCAGCCTCCAGAATGCCAGGATTGCATGAAGTAGTTCCCTCTAAAATCTGTTAGAAATATGCCACAAAAATCTATTTTTATCTTAAGATATGTTATCTATAAGCAGTCATCAAGAACTTATTCTACCAGTAGGTGGCTTTCTCCAAATCCTTAACTGCTCAGAAATTAGACACATTACTAATCATCTATATGGAGGAACAATCTTTTAGGAGGATCTTCACCATCTTGAGGCCTCTTATCACACACTGATCCAGGTCAGCATCCAACAAAGACTTTCCAGGGGATTCCTGTTTCATGAGGTCAAGGACAGAACAAGGATTTCTGTTTGGAACATATCTTTCTGGGGAGAAATCCTCTCTGTTTTAATGCCAGATGGAGAAGTTGTAATATATGTAACAGAAGGTAAGCCTAATTTATGATTCTAGAAACACAAATGAGGACATGATATGTGAGCTTAACTGGGAGGAAGTGTGGCTCAGAGCAGAAAATGAGAAAATTGCAATGACAACAAGAACAAACTGTTCCTGAGAATATATCTATGGCATTTTGACAGCCCAATGACATCAAAGGGCTCAAGGAAGGAAGAAAGGAAGACAATGCTCACCATTGCAATGAGCTGAGAACTCGTGTTCATAGATGCTATATGGGATGGTAAAATCTTCCTTTTATAGTGTCCAGACAGTAGAGCTTCATGGGCCAGTTCTACAGGGGCAATGGCCAGTTCAGTGTAGGAACCACTGAATTAATTGACCGGAACTGGGTGGAAGTGGCCTTGGGAATCCAGCACCACTGGTCCTGGATGGTCATCGCTACATTTAACTCCCAGGATAAGTCTGCCATAGGAAGAATATTTTACTCCTTTTATGGGTAAGGAAACTGAAGTTTATAATAAAACTTTGATACTTATGGCTATCCACACAGCTCAGGCTCAGCCCCACAGCAGTTATAGCTGAGGTCTGTATATTCCCACCACACTCCGTTATCTGTCCTGCCTTCCAGCAACACTCATTCTGGCCAAAGTTAGCTTCCTCTTTTTAAGACACTAACAATACTATCATAATGAACATTACTAAGAAAACTCCATGGGGAAAATAAAGACTGAAAAATAGTCTGTTAAAATTAGGCCATGACAAGTTAGAGAATTTCAAAAAATTGAATCTTAATGGAGATACCAATGTGCAGTGTTCATCTAACTTGACTATGGTCAGTAATGGAAAATGACCATGGACAGGAAAGTACTTGCTTGGATCTCTGTTTGAAACTCTCTGTATCTTTCATTCTTTTATGTGGTGCTTTTCTTTCAACTGTGATAAGACATCATGACCAAGGCAACTTAAGAAAGAGTTTATTTTGGGCTTACAGTTGCAGAGTGTTAGAGTCCACGGCGAAGGTGAGAGTATAGAGTGGAAGTAGCCAGCAGCAGGTGCCTGGAGCGGTAGCTGAGAGCTCAGAAGCCAGAGGTAGAAAGAACACGCTGGAGGATGCTGGCTTTTGTAACCTCGGAGTCCATCCTGAGTAACATACCTCCTTCAACCAGGCTTCAACCACCTCCTAATTCTTTCCACACAGTTACCAACTGAGGACCAAGGACTCAAATATCTGAGACATTTGCAGGGCATCTCATCCAAACCACGACACTCCTCATTATGTATTGTTCATTCCTCGGTCTGCCGACGGGGAAGCCACAAGGACTTAACAGCAGGGGCATTTGTGACACAAGGAGTATTCATTTGAAGGAAGAGGGAGTTCGAATCATTGAGTGAGAGGTTGGAGCTGAGATCCCTTCACCTTGTCTCTCATCTTAACTGAAGTAAGAAAAGAACTTTTGCTATTTAATAAAATAATTTAGTAACCATTGAATCTGGAAGTTTTTCATTACCTTATGAACGTGGTAGTCTCACTTTGGGGTACAGCATTTATAGCAGAGGGGGGAAGCCTGCTCTGACAACTGTGACACAAGCTGTTCATGTGGATTCTCAAGGGCCACCCCACTGCTAGTATCAGAGCTGACATGCTGCCTGGTCACAGGAAGCAACTGTGTACATCTCTGTTATTAAATTGATTTGCACCATAGATTTTTACAGTTAAAAAATACAGGGAAGGAGATTTGATGATTTATTTATCTTTAGAAGTAAAATTAAGTTGCAGAGAAGACTAGACAAGAAAAAAAACCCCAAAGACCCTAAAAAATATCTCAAGTATAATTTTAAAATTATAGCGTTCCCAAAAAAATGTGGCTGCAGATGGCTCCATAGGGCTTCTGTGAACACAGCCTTTATGAGGTATGCCTCATAGAAGACTGAAAACCACATACTGTAAACTGAGTTTTGTTTGGCCACTCGTCTCTGAGGCCTTATCATCCTCACTTACTCTCCCCACCAATTTTATATTACCGGGTAGTAAACTCACCATATTCTGGCTGCTCTTTGGTTTCAAAAGTCCGATGGCCTGGGGCTGGACGGTCCCACCCCCTAGGAACACTGAGGAAGTTGCTGTCATCTGAGGTACTGTCATACTTGTAGTCCTGGTCCCCGCTGTTTGTCCTGGCCAAGGACAAGGACCTCTGCCACCAGGCCCGCCAGTCAGGAACCGGGACTGACCAGCTGGGTTTATTCTCTGGATGCTGATCCTTTTCTGCTTCAGAGTCAGGACCGTCGACCACCTCTATGGTGACCTGAGGAATTCAGAACAGGCCAGATCAATAGCGAATTGGCAGCCTCAAGCGAGGAAGAAGGTCTGAGAGAGCTGAAGAAAAGGATGGCTGCAGCCCTTGTGGAAGAAAGCTGCACTTAAACAGCGATAGAGAACCCAAGACATCCAGGAACGACCCACATGAACTCCACAATTACAAAAAGTATGGTCTCAGATAGGCAAGAAGCTAGTCATGACTGGGTTCTTGGTTTACTGATGAACAAATTGTGGATAAGCCTTTCACTGAAGAAACACTGTGTTCCTGAGGTACCGAAAGGACAGCCACAACAAAGCACAATTTATTGAGCAGGTGCTGTAGCAGGCACTGTTCTAAAGGCTCTGTCCATGTGAATTTATCGATTCTCTCAGACCACAGCCCTGCACATGTGCCTCACGTAGACGTGAGCCCAAGGCCCTCAAGATAAGGCTTTTTTCAGTTATGGTATTTCTCTCCTCCCATTGTTTGGCCTAATAACAGGGTCAAAGCGCATAGTCCCTGAGCTATGGTTAGAACTTGTTCTTTGGATTAACGAAACCTACTTTTGAAATCTGTCATAGGTCTGGAAGAACACAGCTTCTTGGCTCTGAGAGACAATCAGCATAGAAAAACTTGTTTAAAAAAATAATAAAAGACTCATTGGGTTCCTCTGGCCATCACATAGTTCTTGCAACACCTCCTGGAAGGGTTACATGCAAATGAATCAGAAACACACACTCCAAGTAATCAGCGCAAGATGTACTGGGCAGATGCATTCCCAGTTTTGCCCTGACCTGACATCTGAGGAGTTGGTGAGATACCCTGCCAAGTTGCACTGGGGTATGCCCATCCTCTAGATAAACAGCTTGGGGGTTGTTTGTTTTGTACTTGGTCTGACACTTAAAGAAGCTGCCAAGCCAATAATGGTCCTGGGTGTGAGGTCCAGAGTGTGACCTTAGATCCCATAGTATACTGAGGATGGATCAGGACAAGTACATCCATCTCCTCTGTTGTGAGATGCCTTAGAAGGGCACCGTGAGCATTAGCCCATGATGCCATCATTGCCTTAATTTGTGAGCAACTCCTGTATGCTTATAATTATGAAGGTTTTATGGGATTCAGCTGTACTTTTAAGATCAGGAGAAAAGAAATACAATCCCCATGTTCTATCATTGTTGTTTGGTGGAATGGACGGTTGCTAGGGAATACAGACTTGGATGAGCCACGTGGAACCTTGAAAGGACAAGTGAATAAAGAGTATACTACTGGATGGCAGATTAAAAACTACCATGGTAGGATGGGCAAGGCAGAGTCTTTGAATACATGACCTTTCTCCTTTGAAGCCCCATCCCCCTCTGCTAGAGATAGAACCACTGAGCGACAATGATTGTTTGCAAGGGTGTTAAGGATCTCAGAGGAGAGAAGCTGCCAAGAGCCAAGGGGAGTCAGGCAAGGAGGCAATTATGGTAATGAAATCAGTCTCTGAGCAGAAGATAAGAGAGGACTACGTGCCCAATAGTTTTGATACTGCATTTGTGTTCAGACTAGAGTCAAAGGGATTGCTTAAACAAAATGTGCCCTGCAATTTCTCCAAGCCGGGAATAAAAACAATTTCATGTTTCAAGCTATTACCGTCAATACGATTTTTTTCCCTCTCAAATTGCTGCTCAGATCCAAACAAAATAGAGTTCTTGCCTGGCAAGGCAATGGGTAGCAAAATAGGAGGTTACTCCAAAAACGATATCAATGGCTGAATCTCAACAGGGTCGAGGTTTCTTTCTTCTCTTTAATTTCTAGCCATTGCCCCGAATGAATTACAAAACAAAGCAAAACACAAACAAATCTTAGGACCCACCCTTCCCCACAGTCAGCAATGTGGAAACCTCATACTGATATCAAAAAAAGAAATCTAATCTTGAACCTGAAATTTTATAGGCATCCAATTAAAAAGACGCAACGAGCATGGCAAATGCCTTCTCAAATGGCTGGGATTACTTTTCTGTTTCCTGTTTCCCTTGCTCTGTTTGGGTATTTTAGAGTCGGGGAAACCTTTGAAAAAAAAAATCTCTTGAGCAATGAACTTGAATGTACTGGAGTACAGTAGACTTCAAGCTGATAAAGGCCCTAGATTGCTCCATCCTTTTCAAAAAGCTCTATTGTACATCTCTGAGGCACCTTAGTACATCTAGTGAAAGAGAGAGAATTCTCACAGAAGCTCCAGGCCCAAGGTAAGACAGAATCTCCCAGCTCCAAAGGATAATGCAAAAATAGGTATCAATTCTGTCCCAAATTGGTAACCTTGATCAGCTTTTTCTCTTTTTGCTAAATAGTTAAGTTACATTAGAACCAAATTCTTTACTCTTGCTCTGCAGAGCACTTTCGGTAGCAAGACTGAGACAGTTCCCCATTCTAACTGCTAAGGAGCCATGGCCCCTGTAAAGATGTGTAAGCTGTGCTGCCACAGTGAACCCAGCGGAGCTTTCTCTTCAGTTGCTCCTCTGAGCTTTGTGAGCGGAATGGACTGGGCGCATGGATGTAGCCTGAAAAGTTCCCAGGCAGAAAGAGGATTCCCTCAAGAGCACAGAACATCCAGGAATCCGTCTGCAGCAAAGGATTCGGCTGTCCTTCTTCCCTGACAACCGCGGCAGAAAGAACACGAAGTAGACCAGGAGGATATTCAATCCTCTTGTCTCAGACCTGCTGATGCTCCACAGGAACTGTGGTATTCCCTACATAATTGCGGTTGCTGCACTGAGATTTACAGCAGCGTGCCCGCCCGAACATAAGTGTCTCTTCTACAAAACTTAGACTCGGTTTTCAGGCACTATCTTGGCTTAGGGAAATCAGTTTTCCAAGTTAAATGGTGAAGAAAGTGTAGCGACAGTTTCTGGGTAAATCTTTGGATTCCCAATTAATCTTTGAAGCAGTTGTTTATTACCCATGCCCAGTGTGTGTGTGTGTGTGTGTGTGTGTGTGTGTGTGTTTGTGTGTGTGAGTGTAAACACTTGCTACAATTTGTGTGGTCAGTGGACAACTCTGTAGAGTCAGTTCTTTCCTTTCACATCTATGTGGGTTCTGGGGATTGAACTAGGTAGCCAGGTTTCTGAAGTAACCTAATTATTCTTATAGATGTTCTTCTGTCATCTTTATCTGTACCATCTTCACCCATCATATCCATTAGTTCCAGAAAGCTTACCAGACACATAACCCTATGCTAAGCCCTTCGTGTGGATAATCTCAGTCCTCAGAGATCAGATTCCATGGGTAATTGTAGGTGGAATTATCACACCAATTTTATAGTCAAGAAAACTAAGGTGCAGAGAGATTGAAAAAAACATCCAGGAATCCAAGACTAGCAGACTGAGTGGTGGTACTAGACAGGAAACCTAGGTCAGACTGACTCCATAGTTCATGATGATGGCAGAAGTCCGTGAGAATCTCAGCTGTCCAGGTTTGTCCCCATTGGCATACTGGTCCTTATTCAGGGCACAAACATTTCTTGGCTCTTACTCAGCCAGACTGGCCATTTTAAAAGTATTATAGATACAGGAGGGAAAAGCAGAAGCAGACACACATAAAAGCCTGACTGATCCCTCTGAGTATATCTTGTAGCATCCCAGAGGCCTAGGGCCATGGAAATAAGTCTGTGTGAAGAAGGGTCTGTGGATGGCTGTGTTTAAGTCCCTCTCAATGGAGGCAAAGAAAGCACTATATTGGTGGAAGTGGATACTGACCTCAGACTGATTCAGAAAAGGGATATGTTTGGTTGTGAATAGCCACTGGAGTAATGAGTTGACACTGCAAGTCTAATAATGAGTTTATTTTGGAATTTTTGTCTTTATTATCTGACCATCAACCAAAGAACAAAAACTCAGCCAAGGGCACTGAAGTTCAAGTCTAAGTTGTCCCGAGGGATTTGCTTTCTTTCCTGAATGATTTCTTTTTTTAAAGCAGAAACTAATTTCTTAAGTTGTTCTAAATCGAACATGGAGAGCCAAGTTAGGATTCTGAGGCCATTTCTTTCTGTGCAGAGATAATAGTTCTTTCTCCTCCCATTTCCACAGCCTGAAACTAGTGCTCAGGTGGAGTCTGATCCCATGGAACAGAGGCTGCTTGACTTATGGCATAAAATGCTCCACAGAAGCAGATGTTGAGCTTCTAGAAGGATTCTCCACTCTAAGAGTCAAGAGGCCCAAGGGACACAGCCCTTTGCTCAGCAATGTCACTTTGGAGAGGTACAGGCATTTTCAAAGGAGAGACAGGATCCAGCCTTGCAGCTTCAGGCACATTGGCAGAGCTTGGAGCTGCAGAGACGTCAGGGGTAAGGGTAGTGATTTCTGCTAGGCTCCCGGACTCAAGGTGAGGATAGCTAGGTGGGGAAGGATCAGTTTGCCTAGGAGGTAGCCCAGGAGGCCAGAGGCTCTGACGCCAGATGCCTACCCACCGACACACCCCTTCCTCTATTCATGCCACTAACCAGGACAGAAATGCTGAGGGGTCATGGTGAGCAGTGGGGTTTTGTGCTTAAATGGATGGACTAGGTCAAGCCAGTGACTTTCAATGAAAGAACAGTGCTCTGAGCCTGGATGAAAGCTGCTACCCAGAAATCATTACCCCTCCCCTTTGGGAAGTACCTTGTATTCTAAAGGACCACTAGAGAGCTGGTTTACTCAAGTGCAGTGGTGCATGGGACGGTAGAGGCTAATGGTGTGCATACAAGTGTGTGTGTATAGACACACACACACACACACACGCAGGCACACTGAGAGAGACAGAGAAGAGAGACACACAGAGAGAAACACACACATACTGAGAGAGATAAAGAGACAGAGAAGAAAGACACACAGAAACACACACACACACACACACACAGAGAGAGAGAGAGAGAGAGAGAGAGAGAGAGAGAGAGAGAGAGAGAGAGAGATGAATGAGAGTTGGAGTATACAGTAGCTGTCTTTGAATATCTTTCTGAGTGACTCACACCAACCTTTTGTGGCCTTCTAGAAAGCAAAAGGCCAGAAATGGAGCTCAATTCTCTTTAGGATAAAGAAGCCATCAGATCAATTAAACATTTCTGTCTCACTCCTCTGCACCATGGAAGACCAACAGACAATGATTATTTAAAGCAGAATGGGATAACTGTACTGTAGTGGACACAAAGACATATTGGCCTCGTGTTGTTTGGGTGTCTGACTTCAACATCTCTATGCTGGAACTGTGTTAGTTTTAAATACATTCTGCCAATAACTCTGATATTTGAAACCATAAAAAACCTGTATTCTTGGAAGATATTGTGGTATCTGGTGTCTTCTTATTTAATTATTTGGTAAGTCATTTATTCCTTAGGAGGTTGCCCTCTCCTGAAGGAATTTCTGGTGCCGAAGGCAAGTTACCAAGGCACCGAGGGTAAGTAACTTCCTGAGTGCTTTGAAGAAAGATTGTGGGTTACCTGGTCTAGTCACAAGCATTTTCCTATAACTACCACATTTCAGTAATTTCGGGGTACATCATTTTTGTTTTGTTTTTCTATTTCAGTGTCTCAAAAAAACATCATGGGTGTTGCAACACTATTTTTATAGGAATAATACAGCCCTCGGCAGGAATCACAGAGGGGCTGAGAAGGGCAAGGAGGTAAGGCTGCAGGGCTTGTTAGAATCAGGTTAGGAAACAAAAGATGCACTGTTTTCTTTTCTTTCGCTTGCCAGCTGCTGAGAATTACCTGAATATTTGGATTCTGCCCATTGATATCAGCTTTGGAAAGATCTGGAAAGTTTGGTAGATCAAGGAGAAATGATCTGGGGCCGTCTCTTTGCAGTGAAGGATGCCCAGTCTCTTGAGGGAATCGCTGTCTAGGGGAGGGTTGGTGGATAACTTGGTGCTCCCCTGAGACTTCTTTGGACAGAGGAAAGCTGGTTTCTGATGTGGACTCACTCTCCAGGTTGAGGTTATTCTAAAACAGACAAATAGACAGACAAGTCATGAACAGATGCTTAGATGGTAGGTGGTTAAAAGTGCTACTCTTAACAGTCTATTAAATTAAAAGACAAGGACAATTTATCCCAGTGCCTTGAGTTAAACCTTTGTCTTAGTCACTGTTCTATTGCTGTGAAGACGCACCATGACCAAGGCAACTCTTATAAAAACAAAACATTTAATTTGGGCCTGGCTTATAGTTCTAGAAGGTTAGTCCATTATCATCACGGCAAGAAAAAGACAGGCATAGCATGGCAGTAGCTGAGATCTTTACTTCCTGATCCACAGGCACCAGGCAGAGACACTGGGCCTAGCATGGACTTTTAAAACCTCAAAGCCCATTCCCAATATCCTACTTCCTCCAAGGCCATACCTACTCCAACAAGACCAAACCTCCCAATCTTTCCCAAAATGTCAACCAACTAATGATTACGCATTCAAATATATAAGCCAATGGGGGCCATTCTTATTGAAACCACCACAGCCAGCATAGTAGTCCCAATTCATTTCCCTAGCACATGGGTTAGTTTCTCTATCTTTAAAGGTCAAGTCAGGAAATGTCTTCCAGTTTAGTATTTATTAAACACCAAAGACCATCAAAATAAGGGAGCTCTTTTGATGGAAAAGAGATACTCATTTAAAGCTGGAACCAACTTATAGTTTATTCCTCACAGTCTCAACTGGCTAATCACCATGGTTAACTATAGCCTTGACATCCAGTTTTGTTTCTTTGGTGCAAACCATGAAGGAAATATTTGATTAAATTGGATAAATGTTGAAGTCAAAGTATTGTGCACCATTCACCCACTGAATCTCTGTTCACACTCATCAACTCACGTTTTTATTGATTTCTGCAGAGTCATGTATTCTTGTCTATTCATCTACCCATTTATCCATAAATATATCCATTTGATTTATGTCTTTCTACCTCTCCAATAAATAAATCTCAACTACAAGTTAGGCATGAGATACATTAATAAATGAGATATGCATTATCTCATGGATACATAGAATACATAGATAGCTATGTGATATGTATTCTTTTGGAATGTACTTCTATGTGTAAAAAACAAAACTAGATAGACAAGTAAGACAAGAGACTACTGACACATTATCCAGGTAGACAGAGAATACCTCTCTGAGGAGGTAACAGCCGAGACAAGATCTGATCAAGAGAAGGGGAAGCCCTGAAGTGATCCAGAAACATGGCAAAAGATCAAATAAGATAGGACTTCTAGAGGAGGGATTGACAGCTACTTTGAGGAACATAAAATCAGGAAGGCTAGGTGTAGAATGACAAAAGTTGAAGAACCACATGGCAGAAGGATGAAGAGGTAGAGGAAAAAGTGACAAAAAAAGAGAACTCTGAAATTTAATGCCTTTCTTCTTAAAATTGCAAGGCAAACGGTGTTCTTACCTAGTGAAATATGTCCCAATTTACTTGTCATTGGGGAAACTTTTCTAAGGCAGCTATCCCTGTCCTTTCACTCTCTCTAGAACACTCAGTGAAGGCATCTTTCATCCCTTCAGGGACAGTATTTTTATGTTTACTGGTGGAAGGAGATGTGGAGATAGAATTTCCCCAGTCTTTGGGTCAGCGGCTAATGCTGTTGTTATTGTTGGGCATGTTTTGAGGTTTGGGAGTTATGTTCCAGCACGTTGTCTCCATATGCACTCCCTGTCCCCACTACAGTGCTGTTGACCCAGCCAAACAGTTCTGTCCAGAGTAAAAACACTTCTGAATTTGAGTACCCAAGTTAAAAGCAGCCTGAGACTGAAACACACACAGACCACCTTTGTCAAAGTTTGAAATGGCAAAGAGGAACCGTGAGAGTGTGTCTGCCACCTCTGAAGTGTGAAGTGAGAAGCTGCTTTCATGTTTTCTCTTGTCCTTCCCTTTTGCTCAGGATATGTGGCCAAGTCAGTGTCTCTGGTAACCTTTCCAGCCACCTTTTTGCCATGGTTTCTGTTTCCTGGCATGACTATAGAAGGAGTTGAATTAGTATTATGAGGCATGGATCACTGCAAAGATTCTAAATGTATTATTGTTTCATTGAGTTAGAGGGGATGAGAAAGAGAGATAGAGAGGATAGAGGGAGAGAGAGAGAAAGAGGAAGAAAAAGAGAGAATAGAAAAGAACAGAGTTTTCTTCAACATAAGACCTCTCTATCCCACCTCCCAAAAGGAACCTAATGAGGATGTGTCTGTGACTTTGTCACTGAAAAATAAGCCCAACACTTCCTTGATGGTGTCAGAGTACAGTTGGTGATCCATGATGGGTTTAGAGTCCAGTTGGTGATCCCTGATGGGGTTAGAATTCAGTTGGTGATCCCTGATGGGTTTAGAGTCCAGTTGGTGATCCCTGATAGGTTTAGAGTCCAGTTGGTGATCCCTAATGGGGTTAGAGTACAATCGTTGATCCCTGATGGGGTTATGGTACAGTTGGTGATCCCTGGTAGTGTTAGAATACAGTTGGGAATCCCTGATGGTGTTTTAGAGCACAGTTGGTAATCCCTGATAGGGTTGCAGTACAGTTGGATTCTCCCTGTAGGTATGAGAATGTACACAGTTGGTTCTCCTGGAGAATTTCTTGTTGGAGACTCAGGTATATAAATAATATAAGGGGCTTGGTATTTGCTTTCCAAATGCTTTACAGATTTTTATAACTCAAGACCCAGCTTTATTGTATCCACTGAACATGTTCTTAACTAGATGAAAACCAAAACTCTTTGGGTGAAGATGTAGCTCAGTGGCAGAGCATTTTCCTAGCACACTCAAGGTCCTACGTTCAATTCTCAGTATTGCAATATACATACATACATACAAGCAATGACGTATTCTTTTCACTACCAAATTTTGTGTTTTTGAAGAGAATGGAAATGTATGTATGTGACTAGTTGACATTTTACTTAGGTGTCTGAAAAGAAAAGGACTGAATTTAATTTATTTCTTTTTCTTTTGACTCTTGAATTTTTCTGATAGAAAATTTACCACCATAGAGTGTTTCCTGGCTTAGCTTCAAACCAAACAAACTCCTTCAACTTTCTATGGCATAATGCCCCTCCATGCAAAGCACAGCAGATAATCATAGTCCTATACTCTTCTAGTAAGATGGTCAAGAGTTGGACTGTATCTACATAATAAAAGAGAAATGCAAAGTTAGGACCTTTGACTGAGCAATCCAGGCCACAAGTACCTCTGCTGGGAATAGTTTGAGGACTGGATTCAAGTATGTTTTGAATTGATTCTTGCACAAAACTGTGGCATTGCTCCATCATTCCCCAAACACCCCATCCCCTAGATGCTGGGATTCAACATTTGTAAAGTATTTGGAAGATTGGAATAAATAACAAAATGCTATTCACAGTTTCTGAAAATCTGAATTATGTTTGCACCTCTTCCAAATGTAGTTACCTTGACACCATGTTTTTCTGTGTTCCTAACTATTCAAAAACTAGAGATCTTGGGGTTGGGAAGGGTATTTTAAAATGGTCCTCTAAGGTGAAATGGAATTTAACTCTAGCAGTAACAAAATATGAGACTACCAACTATTTTGGTGATCTGGGACAGGAGGATGATAGACATCCACTACAAGCAAAGGCCCCTTTTTATCCTAAAATGACATGGGTCACATCTTCCTTGCAGAGTCTAACTGATGGCAACACGTTAGTTGTCACCATAATTACTCATTAGATGTCCCACTTAAATGACTATAACAGGGGAAAGAGTTGTAGGCTAGGTGGAAACTGTAAAAAAGAGCTGTGTTTAGACAAACAAACATTCTTTTCTGGAGATGGTAGCTTGGAGGTGTCCAGGAATTTAAGACAAGAGATGCTCCATTCCTTCTGAGATGTCATTTTTTTTTTTGGGGGTCTGTATTGAAGTGACACAAGGGCCTGCCTGCTCAGTATGGGAACAGATTCCCTTTTCCATGGTCTGCCTGCAGTATGTGACATTCCATTGGCAATGCTGTATCCCATCCCCAGTAGTCATTCTCCCTTGATGGTCCTAATGGTAGAGCTGTTACTCCTACTGAAAATGAACCAGGAGAACTGAAGTTGAGGCAGGTGATCGCGGGGGGTCAAATTAGCTAGCTACAGTTTCACATTTTCTACCTTTGTGCGTAGGAATCCCTTCACTTTTCAACAAGTATTTGAGAGCCCGGTTTTAAAATCATCAGGCTCTTGCAGGTTAGTGTTTAACATTTAAATAACTGTCACAGCTCTAATAGATTTTTATTGATTAATTTAGTAATTATTGAATTACTTGATTCATCTAGGAAGCAAGAGCTGATGCAGAGGCCAAGGAGGGGTGCTGCTTACTGGCTCGCTCATCATGGCTTACTCAGCCTGCTTTCTTACAGAATCCAGGACTACCTGGCCAGGGGTAGTCCCAAGCACAATGGGCTGGCCTCTTCCCGTATGAATCAATTAGTCAATAATTCATAAATTCATCAATAAAGGTTAATCAAGTAAATAAAAACATGCCCTCTAGTCAAACCTTATGAAGGCATTTCTCAACTGAGAGTCTTTCTTCGATGACTCTAGCTTGTTTCAAGTTGACACAGTTATGCTACAGCAGTAGTAGCAGTGTACTCTTCTGTAAACTCTATTGTAGTTTTAGAACTGTGACAAGGGTTTAAATGTGAAACTCTCTGCTTTATTGGTTTCTGTGTCAGCTTTTCTGCCAGGACCATGTGTTTGGGTAGGTTGAAGAAAAAAATTCCTGTCCTCTGTCACTTGTAGAAATCCTGATGGAAATCACAGAACTGCATCCACTGAGATTAGCTAAGCAAAGGAAGGCAGATGCTACCTGTTGGTGCTCATTTGTGGAAGTTTAAAAATATTAATCTCAATGATGTAGCGAGTGTGCTGGTTGCCAGAGACTGGGAAGGTTAGGGAGTGAGTACCAAAAGAGCTTAAATAAAGGGTATACAAATGTAGTTGAGAGGACAAATTAGGTAGGTCTGTTGTTTTA